CAATTACAAAAATTGTTGTAAAGTAAATAGAGCATTTATGCAATAGCCATACCCAAATAGATGGAAAATAAAGTAAAAAAAAATACCATACTAGCAATAGACATGTTCTGACTGAGAAAAAAAAAGGTCACAGGTTGACAACATCAAGCACCGTCGACCTTGCAGTGATATAAGACTAAAAATGTTAATAAAGTTACTAGAAAAATATAGGTCTATCTTCCTATATCTACATATATATATTTCTAATCAAGTTATTCAAAATATAATGGAAGTTATATATATATATATATATATATATATATATATATATAGGTTTTGCTCTTTACTCTTCTAATGAATTTTCGATAATTGTATTTATCACATAAAAAATAGGAATTTTTTTTTCACATCATATTAGAATTCTAGTTGAATTTGTCAGATTGAATGGAAAAGAAGAATGTACTGGCAAGTCATAGTGATAAACTTTATCTAGTAAAAATTTTGAAAGTCATAGAGATAAATTTTATCTAACTAATATATAGTGATAAAATTTATCCAGCAAAAATTTTGGAATATTAGTGATAAAGGTTATCCAGCAAAAAAATTGGAAGTCATAAAGATAAATTTTATCTAGTTAATATTTTGTGAGCATTGTCTTTAGTGTAATAATTAATGGTGAAATAGGAAAAATAAAGTTGTCAAAAATTTTGGAATGTTAGTGATAAAGTTTATCCAGTAAAAAATTTGGCAGTCATAAAGATAATATATAGTGATAAAATTTATCTTGCAAAAATTTTAGAATATTAGTGATAAAGTTATCTAGCAAAAAATTTAGAAATCATAGAGATAAAGTTTATCTAGTTAATATTTTGTGAGCACAATTATCTTTAATGTAATAATTTGGGGTAAAATAGAAAAAATAAAGTTGTTCAAAATATTTTAAAAGTCTAATAGGTATGAAAGAAAGAAAATTTTTTGAGTTTAATTCTTTACTCTTATAATCTTTTATTATATAATAATGAATAATGAATTTTCGATGGTTGTGTTAATATCTTTAAAAATAAATTTTTTTTTTTCACATCATATTAGAATTATAATTAAATTTATCGAATTAAATGGGAAAAAAAAATGTATTGGCAAGTCATGGTGGAGATCTAACTAATATATAGTGATAAAATTTATCTTGCAAAAATTTTAAAATATTAGTGATAAAGTTTATCCAGCAAAAAATTTGGAAGTCATAGAGATAAAATTTATCTAGTTAAAGTTTATCTAGCTAATTTTATCTAACTAATATATAGTGATAAAATTTATCTTGCAATTTTGAATATTAGTGATAAAGTTTATCCAGCAAAACATTTGAAAGTCATGGAGATAAAGTTTATCTAGCTAAAATTTATCAAACTAATATTTTGTGAGCATAATTGTCTTTAGTGTAATAATTAGAAGTGAAATAGAAAATCAAAAGTTTTTGTAGATGCTGACATTTATAAGTTGATGATGATGATGAAAGTTATAGAGATAAAATTTATCTACCTAATATTTTGTGAGCATAATTGTCAATTAGGGGTGAAATAGAAAATCAAAATTTTTTGTAGATTCTGGCATTTTTAAGTAGTATAAATATAAATATACATATAGATATCAATGTAAAACGACAATTACCTTTAAATAATACTTTATCTAATGATCCTAATTCAAATCCAAATATAAGATTGTCCTTTTATTGATATGTAAGATTCTATAAGGAGGCATCTAAATAATTAATGAAAAACAAACATGAATTCCAAGTTTAACTCTAAATTAATAAAATTATATGGCCGCCTAATATATATTTTTAATTAGACCCTTTTGTATAATGGTTAATAATTTCTATTTATGTCTCCATATGAACAACTTCTTCACAAAGAATGACCTTTTCAACAAATGGACTATTCTTTTTACTTTGATTCTAAGGTAAAATTGTCACTTAACTCTAAAAATAAATCGTTGCTAACACCATTTTTTGTTTTGCTTTGCTAATCCGCAAGCGCCGAACGATACATAAAGTTGGGAGGGGCAGAAGAACTCCTTTTCCAAATAGCATTCTATTAGGAGTCTCGTTTGCTGCTGAAACAAGAGGAAATCCGCTTTGAAGACAATTCTTTTAACGGCAACAATTACTTCAAAGCATTTTCACATCTGTTATTCCTAGTCTCATCTTGTGAAGCAAAGTCGGATAAGGGAGAAAGAAGTTATTTCAGTTGACTTTGGGAAGAGGTCTCTTATATATAAGGAAAGAAAGACCTCTTTTTTGAGATCAATCCCGTCCCTAGATGTAATAGTCAATCAGCAAGACCGCTATCTAAGAGAAGAGAAATAGTTCTTCTATCGTCTTTTAATCGGTCAAATAGATTCAAGACTGATTGGTAGCATGAGCTAGATGGTTCTAAAAATAAACAGTTAGATGCATATATTTATAATATAAAATAAGATAATTTTCAATAAGTTCATTCGATGGTCTTAAAAAAATTCATTCAACGACCATCAACATCCCTCTTAAAACCATTGATATTGTATCGCGCCTTCGGACACGATTACCCCTAGTATAATAAGATAAGCAGCATTGTTCCTTATGTGCATACTACCATCATCTTAAGAGTCTTTTGGTACTACATAGTAAATTCATGTGCAATGTAAGTGTCTTACACTAACACAAACACAAACACAAACTCCCCCTCTCACTCTCTCACTCTCTCTACCCCACCCCCTCCCCCCACAACACCAAAACTTTGTTTTCAAACAATTGAAATGAACAAAACGTTTCCATTTCAATGNAAATTTGTAATAAGGACGTAATAGAGGTAAATTTAAACGTATTGAATTCGAATTATGACAATTTTTTAAAGTTAGGCCATAAGAGATTTATCTCTCATAAATTCCTTAATTCCGACATGGATGACCTACCTTTGATTGAATCGAAAAAAGAATTAGTTGATGTGTACATAAATTGGTCCGGATACCCTGACCATTAAAATAAATGNTGAGATTAAAACGAATCAATGATAGAATTCAAATTTCAATACTCTGAGGTGTGTCATAATAATTTGAGTGTTTTGAAATATTTCGACATATTTACACAATTGTTTCAAAATATTTCAATGTATTTCAAGATGGTTTGGTATATTTCGGCCAATAACAAAAAAATATGATGCAATTAATTGACTGCTGATTAAAGTATTTATGTGACAACTAATTAACCAAAAAAAAAACATAAAAAAGGTTCAGAGTTTGGATTTAAATTCAAACACAATACGGACAGAGTTAATTTTAAAAAATAAGTTCTATGTTTNAAAAAAAATAGAAGAATTAGAATATTGAAGTTGAATTCTCCATTTGGCTTTTCTGGTATATATATATATATATATATTTTTTTGAACAAGTCCTTTCTGGTATTTAATTCTTCCTTTTTGTGACAGTGATTGAGACTTGAATCCTTAAACTTGAACCTAAGCAATATATGGGCTATTAGTTCAGAGTTCAGAATCATAGAAACTAGGAAAATTTACTACTAAAGCTACTTTTTCAACGATGATATACTAAGTAAATAGTCACTTTATTTCTTACTTTATCCCTTATAACTAAAATATTGGTGATTTATTAACTTTGAATTAACTTATTAAAAAAGAATTGGAAATAAAATGTTTCAATAAGCTAATGATATTTTGATTGCCAATTTATTTTCAAATTAATCAATTTTATGTATTTAATTTTTGCAGTATTTAAAAAGTACTATCATCATCAGTTTGAAGTTTTGATTAAGTTTTTTACAAGTTTTATCCTTATATTGAATGTATAAATTAAGTTGCCTATTTAGAGGTAAAAGAAAAATTATTATTAATGAAATAATTGAATCTCCTCTTATTGATGGAGGATATAGTTGTTTTTTATGGCACGGTGGATCACTAGTGTTGTGAACTCTAAACGAATCACACTTACATAAAACATGAAAGAAGTTCGAAATAATGGTAGAATATAACTCCTAAACAAAGAGACATAAAACTTCTTTTACACAAGATGGGGTTGCTTGAGGTGTTGGCAAATGACAAAGGTTTCTATTTTTTCAAATTTATGAATGAGGAATCAAGAACGGCNAAAATGCTAAATAACGGAAGTTAAATATGACTAAAGATTCGAGTCATATTGCGATATTGCAAAATAGTTTCAGCTAATTCAATGACACAAATAAATCGGGTTTTTGAAGACAACCAAAGGAAGATTGTTTTATTTACCAACTGTGATATTGCCACTATGTCCCTGCCACTCAATTGTCCATCCACCACACTGATTGCCCATATCATTCGAATGGCTTCCTGCAACGAGTATTTTTGAGGCCTTCTTGGGAAGGGGGAGCAATGGCTCATCTGCAGACTCACCATTTTTTTAGCAGCACAAGAGACTTTCTCACCGCTTCTCTTGCTAGTTCTCTATGCTCCTGTTCAAGACAGTGTTACAAGTAGAGAACTCTTATGTAATGGGAAAATTTAAACTGTTTCCCCTTCAACTATGACAATTTTCTCACATTGCACCTCAATTATCATGTTTCGCACATTGCAACATCAACTATGCTATTGGCTTCACATTGCTCCAATAACTGATGTCCGCTACAAATTTGACCACAAGTTTCACTTTGCCCGTGAAACTTTGTGATTTTATTTTCACTTTTTTCATGGCCCGTTGATATTTTCAGGCCGGAAAACAACGGACGTTTGCAGTGGGGCAATGTGACATCAAGGTAATGTGAGAAATTCGATAGTTGAAGGGGTATAGCAGAATCAAAAGCCCATAATTAAGTGGCCAAAGCATACTTTATCCTCAAGTATTCAGAACAGAGGTCAAAAGGATCCAGTTTATGGAGGTAACTATTAGACTGACCTGACTTCCTATGTACTTGGCCATGCTAAGATCTGCCAATGGGTTCTCAAAAAGGCCCATAACAAACTTCACCCGTAAAATCCTTTTCACTGCATCGTCAATTCGGGTCATTGGAATGTATTTATTCTTCACCAGAGAAGTTAAATCATTGATAAATTCTTTGTAGCGGCGTGGCACCATGATCGGCAGCAAGGCAACAATTAATCAGTACTTGGTTAAAGATTGAAGAGTTAAAATTGAAGAACACGATCACCATGAAAGGCGATGGACTAAGAACTACTGACCATGTCAATGCCAGCAGTGATACCAGTTAGAATGGAATATGTGGAGTTAGCATTTGGTGGAGAAGTGATCAAATCAATACCACCCATATCTGAGATGACAAACCCCTGAAACAATTCATAACAAAGTTTCAAATCTTAGGTTTTTTTAGTTCATTTGTTTAAGATGACAGATTCAAAATCCTAGTTAAACATATTTGAAAATGGGTTTTACTCTGAAACGTAGAGTGTTCTTAAGATAGTCAGTGATAAGATAATGATTAGTGTGAATTTTAGTCCCGTTCCAGCTCGAGTAGGAGACCATGATCGTTGACACGCCCTTGATGATTGAGTCGTGGTAGGGTGGCATATGGATGCTGAGCAGTCCATGCCTGCTAATCACTGTATTGTTGATGTTGATGCCTTCAGTTGTTCCACCATCCCCCACATAGTGCTTGGCACAGGCCACAACCTTTTGCCCATGCAAGAATGAAACACCAAAATTGAATCAGTCAAGAGATGATTCAGTTAATGTTTATCATAAACTATCGAAAACTTCATGTTAATTACGATTACAGTATGTATGCAAATAAAAATAACAAGAATGTGTGATATGTATTCTTGTTAAAATTTGAAATCAGAATCCCATAGCAGGCAGTCCTAAAGATAATTGCAAAACAACTTACTTTCCACCAACAAAGGGAACACCCTTTACAGAATTAGCAGGGATATCTCCCTGTAATCCCGGTATGACCTCAGTCATTGCTCGGACAATGTTGGGATCTTCGCTGTAGCTTTCATAACACCGACCCCATCTTGGATCTCTACATACCTGTTAACAGAATTAGCATAAGGTAAAAAAGAACATAACTCACAAGAAGTTAGCAATTTCTTGGGAAACAGCCGAGTATATTGGAATTGAATTCATTACCGCGATACAAGGTGCAAAAACATAAGAAATTCCTGTAGCTCTAACTTCAAGAGCAGTTGCAGCTCCAATTTTTTTGACCAGTACAGAGTNTGTGCGAAAACATATGATATTTCTGTAGCTCTAACTTCAAGAGCAGTTGCAGCTCCAATTTTTTTGACCAGTACAGGGTCTCTGCTCAATTTATTAACAGAAAAAAAAAGAAATAAACCCGACAATTCATCAAATCATCGTATATACCAAACAATTGTGTCCTAATCTTCGATAAGTATTCTGCAATAATTATCCATCTGTTGATATAAAGCCCACAGAAAACTGAACTGAAATAGGGAACTTGTTTGAATTTAGCTCACTGATGCCTAGTGACACAAATGATTGAGCAGGTGGTTTACAAAGCCATATGGAAACATATCACAGCATGGTTGCATATATACTTGCCTTGTAGCTCCAAGACCAATATTGTGAGGGAAAATCGTTGCCTTGTACACTGTGTTGTGACCATGAACAGCATCAATCCCATAAATCATCGGTATCCCAAGACGGGTGGATAAGGAACCCTTTTGGAAATCATTCACCATATTGATCCNCCGTCGCCTTGTACACTGTGTTGTGACCATGAACAGCATCAATCCCATAAATCATTGGTATCCCAAGACGGGTGGATAATTAACCCTTTTGTAAATCATTCACCATGTCGATCTAGGTCTCAGCAGAAGCCTTTTTAGCCGGAGCACTGCCTCCACCACTCAATACACTCCCTGCTCAATATCGTAAATACATAAAATCTAAAACATAGTATACACATCTTTATAATTTCACACGAAGAAAAATTATGATGATGTTACCAATGTAATACTTCTTCATGACCTCAGCTGATGCCACAGCGCGTTCTATCTGTGTCATTTGGCCGATTTTTTCCTCCAGAGTCATCCGATTCATCAGGTCCTTGATTCGAATACTTAGTGGCTGTTTTGG